GACACGACCCCTATAGCAAAAACCTCTCAAAAAAAACAAAAAAAAAACCCCAAAAAACTAAATAATCTGTTACAGATAGGCCACATTTTGTTTATCCATTCATCTCTTAGGGGACACTTGGGTTGCTTCCAACTTTTGGCTATTGACTATGAACATTTTAAAAAAAGATATTTAATATATCCTTACTACTTACTTATTTTAAATTTTTGTCACAGGGTGTGTGCACTCACCAGAGACAGAGAGGGAAACTGAGAAATCACCCCCAGGGATGATGGCTATGCTGAATTCTCCTCTCCCGACAGAGTGCACATGCAGATAGGCCCACAGGTTTGTCATGGGGTCTGGGAGTGGAACCCTGCTGAGTTGGCCATGTTGGACCCAGCCTCCTGAACTACCATGCCTGCTGACCTTACTGTGAACATTTAAAAATGTACTTAAATGGTTGTAGCAAGTTGGCTTAGCTGGTTGGGACATGGTGCTGATAAAATAGAACTTAAAGGTACAGAAAAAAGAATAACAGCCATTATTTTATTGACATTTTATCCCTACATACAGTATTTCCTTTTTTTTTTTTTTTAAAAAGTACATTTTAGGACTAGCAAGTGTCAAAGTAGTTCAGGCACTGCCTGATCAAGACCCATAGCTGGCATGTGTGCCAAAAAGTTCCCAGAGGAGAATGGAGGGCCACTCTCTCCTCAGGGGGTGGGGTGGCGGGTGATTTCTCACTTTTCCTTTCTCTGTCTCTCTCTCCCCTCTCCCTAGCAAGAAAAAAAGATACTTTTTTTTTTTTTTTAACAAAAGCTCACTTTTTTTTGAGAGACAGATATAGAGAGTGAGAAATCTTCCCCCATGGGGGATGGCCACACCACAATCCCTTCTCATTCTGTCATGATTTTGGGCACTCACACAGATACCCCGTGTTTTTCAAGCCCCCCCCCCCATGCAAGAGTCAAACTGCTGTGGCAGGCTACGTGGGAGACAGCTGCCTTAACTACCACACAGCCTGGCAGGCCCCAAGCTTGATCATTTTCATACTTAACAAAATAATTCTTAGGTTATTTCATGTCTAACACATATTCCATAATCTAATTTACCCAATTATCTCAAAAACTTTCTTTTTGGTAATTTGTTTGAAATAGTATCAGGGCCAGCAGTTGGCTAATGGCTAAGTACTGGACTCCCATGTACTAGACCACAGTTTGAGCCCCGGATTTGGTGGCTTAAACTCACACCAGGCACCTGTGCGTGGGTGTCCAAGATTCCAGAGAATGGAGAAGGGTTTGTTGCGTGGCTATTTCCCCTGGGGGGGGGTTGATTTCTCGCTTTCTCTCTCTCTCTCTCTCTCTCTCTCTCTCTTGCGAGGGCATGCGCCCTATAGCAAAAACCTCTCAAAAAAAAAAAAAAAGTATCTAAACATGGTCCACGCGTTACTTCTGGTTGTTTTGTCGCTAGGATTGTTTTAAAGCAATCTGAGCGCCTCCTCACCCTTTTAATGCCATTATCTTGTTACATAACGGACTCAATTTATATATAATGCATTTCCTGGGGAAAAAAAAATCTGCACACTTTAAGGGAACCAAATACCGAGTATCCTAAGACCCTGGAACTTGGTTTTATTTCGAAACGCTGCAACTGTGTATAGAATATTTCCACACTCTCATGACCTCGCGCAGTAACGCCCAGCTCCACACTCAATCATATGACCGTCCTGTCATAATTGAGCAAACCCCAATTTGTCTTTGTAGACACAGCCTCTACAGCAGGGGGCAGGATTATCTTCTGGAAGCCAAGAGCCCAGGAAACCCCTTCGGATGCTTAACCGAGAGAAAGATTTAAAAACAAACAAACAAAAAAAACTAAGGTAAGCAAATTACAAGCTTTCTCTGAATAAAGAGATAAATAAAGGGCATCTCCAGAGAACGCAGTGCTGGGAACGTATTACAGCATTAAATGACACAGACTGAAGAGATTCTGGTTGAAAAAGCTATCACATTTGGCTCAGTAGCGAGCCAGGGGAGTAAGAGTCCGCAGGGAAGAAAGAGACGGGGTAGAGACGAATAAATAGCGGTGAGCAGCCAGAAAGAGGTAGAAACCCGCCCAAGCTACGGCCCAGAAGCCGAGAGCCGAGCGAGGGACACGAGCAAATCTTAGGAAGGATCGCCAGACACCAGAGAGGCAGTCCAGGATCGGGTTTTTCCGAGGAGCAGATCAATCTGGAAAAGGTGCAGAAGGCGGGGTACGATCGGCCTACCCCACCGCGCCCAGGGCGAAATCCAAGGCGCGCCCTCAGCTGGTGACTCAGTCGGCGCGTCACGACCTGAGCCTCCGCCGCGACAAGTAGTCCCCGGCCGCGCAGAGGCTGAATGGACCCGAGGGCGGAGCCTCGAGGCTCG